CGTAAATAGAAAAAAATTATAATAAAATATTGAAAAAATGGCGGGTTTTGCTTTTCTTATTTTCCATTTTTTTTCTTATTTTTTATTTTCCATCGACGCGATTTTACCAAAAGAACCAAGAATATGAATTCCTGCAGTCACGAAAGTTTTAAGTCAAAATTGATCCGCTAACCCGTCAAGGCAAGTGACCTGTTAATCAATTGCTGTTATAACCGTACCGGCTTCAAGTAGCAGCAGAGAGACACGTGACTCCACTGCAGCTCCCACGTGACAGCGTCTGGCCACGCCCAGCGCGGGTCACGTGTCAGGAAGGGGCGGGGCTTAAGCACCACGTGGGCAGAGCCCCCAGGTGTCATTGGCTGTCTGCGTGGTGTCGTCTATGGGTCTCTGTGCGTGAGTCAAGTTCAAGTTCATGTACTAGGTAGAGCCCTGTGAGCCATTCGGTTCTTGAATCGGGTGCAAACTGAAAAAACAAAAAAACATGAACAAAAAAACATCTTAAAGTGACTACGTGCAAAATGAAAAAACAAACAAAAAACTAAAACATGAACAAAAAACATCTTAAAGTGACTACGTGCAAAATGAAAAAACAAACAAAAAACTAAAACATGAACAAAAAACATCTTAAAGTGACTATGTGACTGAGTGCAAACAGAAAATCCAAGAAAACACAGCAAAATATTGCAGACAAAAGTCACCGTGTACACCAACACTGTGTGCAAACATCCCAGTGGGATGCAAGTCAAACAACCAACAACAACAACCACAAGACAACTTAGATAGTCGATGGGTCTCTATCAGTAATTCTACATTTGAAGCTTTCGTGACTGCCAGGAGTAGGTTTTTTCGGTAAAGTCACGTAGGTAAAAATACAAATAATATAAAAACTAGCAGTCGCCGCCCGCTTCGCGGGCGGTGTGTATATGCTTGGTTGGTGGGGAGTTGAAAGTGGCTGGACACAATAGACATGTTTTGGTGATTGTTTTATGTTTATTTTTGTGAGGTTATATGCATTTTTATGAGACGCTCAATCGACAATATTAAAGAATGCAACTTATTCAAATATAGAATGCAACTTATTCAAATATCTGCCGATACACGATATTCTTCGTGTACACTCCGTCTTCCTCCTCGTCGTGAGGTCCCTCAATAAGCACCTTGATGTTGGATCTTGCCGTGACTCGCGATAGTGTCACGTACAGTTGGCCGTGCGAGAAGCATGGCGTTGGTAGATATAATCCCAGGTTGTGAACAGTTTGCCCTTGCGCCTTGTTGATGGTCATCGCGAATGCTGGGACAATGGGGAACTGCATGCGCCGAAGTCGAAATGGGAAGTCCTTCGTGTCCAATTCTCGGCGGATATGGTTGTTCTCAAGCAGCGAGTCCAAGACCAAGTGTGGGTACTCGGAAAGCTGGGGGAGGTCGTCAAAGTCCGACAGAGCCATCCCACCTGCCGTGAGTAACTCGTGGAGGCTGTTAATGGTCTTGAACTTTACCATTTCTTTATTTTCTTTGATGCTGCTAATCCTGCATAATGTACGGGTATAAGTAGTACTAATCACATACCTGCATTTCCCATATCCCCTCCCTTTGATGCTGCTAATCGTGCATAATGCACGGGCATAAGTAGTACTAATCACATACCTGCATTTCCCATATCCCCTCCCATTGATGCTGCTAATCCTACATAATGCACTTACACAAGTAGTACTAATCACATACCTGCATTTCCCATATCCCCTCCCTTTGATGCTGCTAATCCTGCATAATGCACGGGCATAAGTAGTACTAATCACATACCTGCATTTCCCATATCCCCTCCCTTTGATGCTGTTAATCCTGCATAATGCACGGGCATAAGTAGTACTAATCACATACCTGCATTTCCCATAAATATGCTAAATTCCTCTTGATATGTAAATTATTTTGTCAAGGCGCCCTTTCCCCCCCTTCGAACCCAGCTTATATATATGCTCCAAGCACGTGTGCTGTTTCATTCAGACGCTGTCGCCTCGACAGACCTGGTTTTCACCTGAGGACGGCTGCTTGCGTTGTGGCCAAAACGTCGTGAGAATGATTTTATTATATTTTATTTTATTATTTTATTATTTCCCTTCTACGTGACTTTACCGAAAGAACCAAGAAGATTTACCATTTCTTCTTTGTTGGTCAGCTGGCGGTACTGGTACTCGTAATCGCGAGCCAATTCGTCGTAGAATTTATCCCAGAGAGCCTTGGTATCTGCTGGCATGGAATACAGCAGAATGGTAGCGAAGAGTAGACGAAGCCAGACACGCAACCCATTCGCGATCGCTCTCAAGGTAGCCTGCTCGCATGGCTGCTTCCAGCGGTTTGTTTTATTTTATTCGTAACGCACCATCCATATGCGCTCCACCATCCACCATGCCCTTGCATCGCAAAGACACAGCTCCGGTGTGCGTCAGCGTGTGCGCCATCCACAATGACATTGGTCAGCAATTGCACCGTTCCGATCGCACACAGGTTGGCCCCTGCATCCTCCGTCTGTATGTACACACACAGACAGATGCGCTATGGGGCCACCTATTTTTTTCTTATATTAAAATGTATTTTGTTGGTGTTTTTACGTTTACGTATTCCCATTGTGTGTGTTTTACGCATGCATCAGATTTTTGGGTTCCTCACATATGGTATCAGAGGTGTGGGTCACTCCATTTCTCAATCGAACAATACCGGGGATCGTTTCAGTTATGACAGCTTGCAGATAGAAACCTTGCATGATCGTATACTAATAATGACAGAATTTGTACCCCAGTGGAGGGCATCCCCCACCCGGCGCTTCTTACCGGTACTGTGAGACTTAGAAAACCAGACCTCTCCTCCTCCTGAACCGTTCACAATACCCTGTGGTAGTACCATAATCATCTCAATCAAGCGATCACTTTCCAATGCCCATTTTCATCCCGGGAGTTACCCGGGTGGTGTCACACTGTACTCATTGTTTTAGCATGTCGCAAATTCCGATATGGCTTGTGCAACGGCCAGAGAGTAACAGCGGCGGGGGCCGGGCTGCAACCTTTTTAGACAGCTTATTACATTTCAAAGTGCATAGGATTGGCACTCCAAAACATCATAAATGTACAGTAACGACAACTGCATCCGTGGCAAACATGATACGCGGACACATGCTGCATATTATGCAACACATGCCCTTACCAGCAGCAGCATGCACAACATCTGAATTACACAACCGAAGTAGACAGCAAGCCGTCCATGGAGACGTGATCAACGTCAATACATAATAATGGTAATAAGCCGGATAAACCGAAAAGTACCCATTGTACCCATCAAACAGTCAGCTGGGTTGCCCCATGGGGGTATTGACCCATGGGCGAAACTGTAGGGGGCGCTACGCAACTGGCCGTGGTCCCGGCAGGTGAAGCTGCCAGCTCAGTCCGCTAAGACTTACTGTATAGCGACCCCTGCCTACTCGTAAGGTAAAGTTGTTTGGGGACTCCACTAATCGCAGCACGCAGCACCCATTTTTCCAGAAAAATACGTATATACATAAATATACGTATATAACCGTAACAACCATTCGCACACTTGCATACACACCACACTCACACAGCGCAGGATGTGCGCCCACAGTGCACTGCACCACTGCGGCGCAGACCTTGGCATACCTATGCTATCACACAGCACTTACCTTCTGTGTGATTCTGCTTGTTTGGAAATGGACGAATGACTGACTGACGCGTGCTGCTGCCACAAAGCACGCAGGCCACTTTGAGGCAATTAAATGTAAGGGATAATTAATTAGTCCAATGAGATTGAAGGCAACACCGACAGAATTTCTCGAGCGCTGGTTTGATATGTAGGGCGGGGAACTGTGCAGGGCCACTTTGCACATACTTGTTTCGGCCCAATGAAAGATTAAGCACAGTGGTTTCAAGGGAATGGGCGCAATATTGATGGAGCTGCGTACGAAAGAGTGGTCAGTTTTGTCCACTGGGCCGTCGAACCGAACCCCACCAATAATGAACAGATTTTATTGAAAGTTCTGGAATTGAAAATGTATGTGGCTATCTGATTAGTGGAGGGTTTTGGTTGCAGCCGCGGACGTTCTTCGTTGGGGAGATATCGCCACCAGAACGCAGTGTTCGGCGGGTGCAACAGCAACACTGTACCTACAGTAGATTTTGCGTTGCGACCATCACTGTGAAAATGGTGTTGCGTGAAAGTAGGTGCAATTGTTGACCGAAGAGACGCTGTTGTGTGGCAGGTTTATTTATTCATATTTGTCGAATGAAAGTGAGCTGTGGCTTTTTGCCGGCTGTTTTATTATTTTTTATCGACGAATCAGAGCTAGCTGTTTGGGCGGGTCCGTGAATAAATTAACGTCCAGATACGCACGCAGACGACCAAACCAGCGTAGTTGTTTAAGATGCAGAACTGCACAAGTTTGGTTAAATAACTCACGGCATGTGGAAGCCCTCAGTAGTGGCTTGACTGAAGGCTGTATACGTACATTTGTATACGCTGCTACTCCGTGCTATAATCGTTTACAGTCGATGCAAATTAAATATTATTTATATAAAGACCGATGGAGAGCGCGTTGAGACTTTGGCAAGAGACCTGCGAGTTGACTTTGTTGAAGCCCGAATTATGTATAACACACGTCTATAGGACGGGTTCTAATAATACGCTTTTTAATTGCAGTCCATGTGATATGTGCGGGTGTATTCAAAATTCCACGTGTTATATCCCTCGTGTTTTGTAGCTCTTTAATAATTTTGTTTCACGCAACGTGTTAAATGTGAGTGAATCATTCCGGCTCGCTGGTAGACTGGAATAAGCACTTGACTAGGATTTGCTGACTGAAATGAATCTCTGGTTTCGCCCGTCCCTCATTGGAGAAGTCCACAGTGGGAGAAAACACTTATCTATACGTGCTTCAATAACGTTTAAAGTTGAGATGGTGCTCGTCATAAACTAAAATATACTCTATACGTGCCTCAATAACGTTTAAAGTTGAGATGGTGCTCGTCATGAACTAACATGTAACTTGACTGTCGCTCAACAGTATGCTACGGCTTCAGAAGCGGCTGTCAGCCAGCGTGCTGCGCTGTGGAAAGAAGAAGGTCTGGCTGGACCCCAACGAAACAAACGAGATCGCAAACGCAAACTCAAGTAAGGATCGCCACAAGCCACAGCGTCTTAACATTGTGGAAACTGATACTTGGCTCACTTGATACAGCAAATCTACCTGATGACGGAGACTTGTGTTGCCTCTGAAACGTCGTGATTTTTATTTAATTTTACTTTTATTAATTTAAATTTTTTTACCTACGTGACTTTAGCGAAAAAACCTTAGAATATGTTAGACATTGACTTTGTAAGAGCCTTTTATAGTGGTAAAACGTGTGTAAACTAGCCTCTGGTAAATTCCATATGAGAAGGGGGTAAAACTACATTTATCAGCGTTAACTCTTGCCCACCCCACTTGTTCTAACCTCGTTCTATTTTTGTCTTCAGGGCAGCAGATCCGCAAGTTGATTAAGGATGGCTTGATCATCCGCAAACCGGTAGCGGTGCACTCGCGTGCACGCTGCCGCAAGAACCTGGAGGCGCGGCGCAAGGGTCGGCACATGGGCTACGGTAAGCGGTCACCCTGGTGCCCCGCTCACCCTGTGCCGGGCACTCCGTCTCTCTTCTTAGTGCTCTACATTCTCTCACACCCTTAGTGTATGCTTGTAAAAGAGCGGTGCCCAATGTTGTCCTCTTGAAAAAGCTGCCAACCGTGTGATAATTTTAATGGTTGGCAGGAGTTTGAAATCTGTGTGCTTATGGGGGTGCTCTTGAGTGTGTGAACACCGAGGTGGGAAATAATGCAAGACCTGAGGTAATGTGGGTGTCCCAGGATGCCCCATGTTTTCTTTATTTTATGGTTGCATGAATCCTGTGCTAGCCCTGAACAATGCAATATTGATTGGTGTAGCTTTTAGAGTGTAAAAGTACAAAGTTGTAACGAACTAGTTGGATTTTAATTTGCTGAAATTAGATTAAGCATCATAGCCACGCCTTTCTAATGTTTCTATTCTGCTGTCCTTGCAGGTAAGCGCAAGGGTACAGCCAACGCCCGTATGCCAGAGAAGCTGGTGTGGATGCGGCGCATGCGGATTCTGCGCCGTCTCCTGCGCAAGTACCGTGAGGCCAAGAAGATCGATCGCCACATGTGAGTGCCACTCGCAGCCAAATATACATTACAACACATTGAATTATTTTTGTTATGTGAATGTATGTGGTTCATGGCTTGACTGTTTTTATGAATGTAAATTTTAGGTACCACAATCTGTACCTGAAAGTGAAAGGTAATGTGTTCAAGAACAAGCGCATTCTGATGGAGCACATCCACAAGATGAAGGCTGACAAGGCCCGCAAGAAGGTCCTCGCGTAAGTGGCTGTGCTAACCCGAGAATTTAGAAGTGTTGCACTTTCCTGGCTGTGATATACGGTGTGTTCTCACAATCATGGATTAACATGTGAATATTTTCACTCGCTGTAAACCTAACCCACGTTCGTCCTGATTGCTTTGCTCTGCAGTGACCAGGCAGAGGCTCATCGCTCCAAGACAAAGGAAGCACGCAAGCGCCGTGAGGAGCGCCTCCTGGCCAAGAAGGAGGAGGAGAGCTCCAAGAAGTGAGCCTTCCCTGCTGGGGAGGTCAACTCGCATCATCAACCTTGTATCTTCTTGTCAGTCAATAAACTATGAAATCCCCACACCCATTGTCTCCTCGTTTTGATGTTGAATGCGAGTTTTGTTGTACTTGGATGCCATGGTGTAATGGGTTATCCCCACTGAACTTGAAATCCAGAGGCCGCTGACAGCTGAACTGAGCACCGAGCAGTAGTGGTACCCTGGAGATCGAACTTAATTCGTTCCAGAAGGCCATTCGAACACCGAATTAATTTTCTCCATAAGAATTAATGTTAATGACATTAATTGGTTCCAGACACAAGAAATCTCTCAAAGCATTTTTACACGAAGTTTACAGTAATTACATGCATAAAATCATACCAAAAAAACAAGAAACATGGAATAAATGAATAAATATATGGAATAAATGAAAAATAAAGTTGATGGCTTGAGTGGAAGGTGGTGGTGTTATTGTTTGGAAGGAGAAGTCCCCTTCCATAATAACGTCGGGTAACTGCCCTTCTGGGGTTCTTTCTCTTCTGTGCCTCTTTTCTGCCACTGAGTCACTTGAGCTCTTTCTGACTAAAAACTTGCCTAAAGAGGTTTGTTTCTGCCTGTTTTAGGATGTTTTGAAAATGACATTGCTTTATCATGAAAAAGATTGCTCACTTGGTTGGCTACGGCCTTAATTGGGTGATATTTTTCTAAAAAATTCTGTAACTCAACCCATTTTGCACATTTTAGCACTAAAATAAAGGAAATTAATGAAAAAGTTAAGGAACGATGTTTTTTGGGTAACTGCACGGTGAGAGCTACGTGTTAACTGACCCCCTCACACGGTAAAACCTTTGGGCAAGCGTCATGCACGCCCATACGCGTCTCAGCCGTACAGGTTGTTTCAAGTCACGATTGCCCGTTCGATCTCCGAATTTCGTTTGGTTTCCGGGGCAAAAAATGTTCTGAAATATCGTTCGAACACCGATTTGTTAGAGTTCTGGTGCGTTCGATCTCCGAGGTTCTACTGTATGAGTACAGAACAGTTGATTGCCAGAGGTCAAGAGTTAGTATTACTATCTCTTCCACCAGGTGTAGTTACCTTAAAAGAGCAGGCCGAGCAAGACCCCTAGAAGGCCTTTTTAGAGCTCCCTCTAATGGAGGCATTTTGGCCACCAGTGGCAGAAGCAAGACATTTTAGGTTTTCTAGGGCTGTGTACCCCATTGTGCTGGTTTAGCGTTGAAAGCTTCACGAGTATAAAGACTTCCAGGAGGGTATTGTCAAGTTTTTGCAGTTAGGGATTGCTATGTAAACATTGCTAGCATTGCTCGTGAATTGGCGCAGAATATAAATGCGCGTTATAGGGATTTTGTTTGAACCCCTTGCAATTTGTCTTTATTAATGACGAGGTGTGCGCTTTGAAGTGATTCATGAGATGGGTCGACAACTGGACGTGTGGTACTCTGATCATTGATCTTGTCCTGTGTTCAAGAGTTGACCTGGGCATGTGAAAACCGGTTCAGGCAAGTGCACTCCAATTGTCTTGAATGACGCTGGTGTGATCATTGGAGCAGAGGTCACACGGATTGGAATTTACGCATAACAAATGACATTGAGGTCCAACTGGTAATGAGAAATCAAGCTACCATTCTTCAAGCGGCATTAAGTCTGAAGTTGCACTGAAATTGAAGGTGCTGTATGTTTTGCCAGTGACCCTTCCTGGCCTACACTGAAGCACATCACATCCGGTTTGATCAATGTGCAAAGATTGACTAGAAATTATTGGTTTAAAGCTTTCGTGACTGCAGGAATCCATACTCTGGTTCTTTCGGTAAAGTCACGTATGTAGCAATCAAACATCACGACGTTTCGATCGCAACACAAGCAATTTTTTATTTTTACTTACTTGGCTTTACCGAAAGAACCAAAGAGTAGACGTTCTGGGTTTTGTGGGAAAGCCAGTACAGTATCTGGAAATGCCTTCAGTAACCATATTTTATTTTTTCCTACGGCGTACCGTTTAGGAGGTACGTCATGGATGGACACCTTGCAAATTACGTATGTCCACTCGTTCGCCTGTTTGCGGTACAAAAGATATGCTGCCTGCTGCACGTAATGGAGTACGCTTTTTTTACCCGAGCTCAATTACCTCTAAGCCCCACCCATGGCAACCTTATGTTTTACACAATGATGTCATGGGACCTTTCATGTCCACTGCAGCATAGCGAAAACATTTTTTTAGGTTTATACATTGACTATTAACGAGGGGAGCCTGTCCGACGGGAAGTGCAGATTTCCAACAACCGGTGGCGTCATGTGACCACCCCATCTTGATACAGTGCCAAAAGCAAAACGTAAGTAATTTAGGTACTCAAATATTGCTTAACGTCAATATTCCATTGCGCCAGCTGCGCTGACCGTATGTGCAGACCTGCGGGTTTAATAAGTCGTGAGTCGGGATGGGAATGAGCTCATAAACCTCCCAACATTTTAGATACAAGGAAGAATTGGACAAGATTTGGGTTAATTTGCATATTTTATAAATGCTCTGCGGTCGACACACCACCACCAAAGTGTTGGGACAGGCATGAGACTGCATTTTGCAGGTATGGATGTGTTTGGCCATTTGAGTTTAAATGCGTTTCAGCTTGCGCCTTGGGAAGGTGCTCACGTGTTGCGGGGAGTGGTGGTTCAGGCTGAAATGGGTGAATGGCTTTGTGTGCAAACATCACTGGGGATAGGTGTCAGTGTGGTGTGTGGACCCACCGTGCGTGTCGTACCTGCTAACAATCTACATCGGCTGGTTGGGATCTTTACGTTTTGGGGCGTGGCGGTGGCCTCGAGATTTACTGAACCACAACCCAACTGACCAGAGTTTCATTCCGCAGATAACGTCAGTGGCAATTCGTATCACAACCTGGCCTGGCCTTCCTAAGCTTGACTTGGCTTTAAACGAGTATCTCGTGCGGGCATTTCAACATCGGCACGGGAAAGACAGGCAAAGCAGTTCTCGGTTTGAATGTTACAAACGGCACTTGCCGTAACAGTCGACATCTATAGTGGTACCTGGTGTGCATCGTTTTGTGAGGTATGCATATGCGCAATTGTGTACCATGTACACGTGTTGTTTTTTTGGTCTGCCATTGCATACGTTTTAATGTTCATGTGTTTGACGGTGCACGTGTCAAGATGGGCACAAATGCACCATTAATCCCTACGTTTCCATTTGCAACGTTACCCCAACATGAGGCGTTCACTTCGTGATCATAGAAAACGTCGGCCACTGGTTCCACATTGCATTGCTCGGGTACATGTTGATATGACCTTCATTTGACTGGTGGGTTGCAGACCGTTTCCTTTGTGCCTTCCTCTTCATGTCCTTGCAAAGTGAGTTGATGGATCGCACCAAACAAATTTACTCGCCCATGTTGCAATGTTGTAACACGAGAGCACACAGAAAATCAAAGCGCAGTTAATAACGCACCACAACCGCAAGCAAGAACAAAATGTCACAAGGGCTTTTTTGCCAAAAAACCTTAAGTACGCAATCTAGCCTAAAAACCTTTACTATTGGTCGCGAAAGCCAATGTGTTAAACCAAAACACATTGTCCTGCGGAGGGAGCTGGTAGGAACGTCGGGTTGCTCGGTCAATGGCCAGAGTCAACAGCGGCGTGGTGTATTCCACAAATATGGCCAACTGAGGGCGGGCACAAGTCGGCGTGAGTAGGTTAAACGTTGAGTTTTATAAGGGCACCACGGGGTGACCAGCCCCTCCCCACCCAGCCCCTCCCCACCCCCCCACCCAGCCCCTCCCTGCACGATGGACGGACACAATAATCCCCTATAGGCTAGTGTAACCAGGTTCCTACCAGTATAACCTTTGGTTCTACCACAACGCGCTGAGGACAAGGTATATAACCTTTATAACTAGGTTAGCGGTCATTAATCATTTTTTTAGCAATGGCTGAATGAGAAAAGTTACGTTTTATAAATACAGCTTGACATAATTAAGAAACTACTTTAAAACAATGAAATAAAAATAAGTATTTCAGTAAAGACACATATTTTTAAACCCTGCCGTTTTCTTAAGACGTGTCTTTTAAACTCTTTAACATACAGATCCAATCACTGATATGGCTAGGGTGAACTTTGAAAGTGTGGTTATGGCTCTTATCAAACATTTTAAACAGCTCCAAAGACTTTGACCTGCAGATAAATTTCACTCCTTGTAACATTTCACCCTAGAAACCGATAGAGCTGAAATTCATGGACAGACGTTCAGGGTAGGTACGATTCTCACAATGGTTCAGTTCACGAATCAAGATGAATATTTCAATTACTTTAGGATTCATTTGTTGGAAACCTCAAACCAATGTGACAAGTTGGACACGAGCAATGACATATATTTGGCCAGAAAATATATTAATGCATTCGATGAAAAAAACCTTTTGAGTTGTTCAACATTCTACCCTGCTTGCAATGTAACTTGGAAAGTGTGTTCTAAAATATTGGAGCTGTGCTAATCCAGACATGCAGATCAGTACTTTAATCTCACACATATTTCACACACAGTTCCAGCATTGCTTGTGTACACCACCGGCGGCAGCTTGGTCAAACTTCTCCTGTCAAGACGACAATTCACAACGTCACCAGCCCATCGAGACATGGCTGCGTTTTGCCAGCGACATCACCACGGCCACTGTGTGGGTGGATATGGGACTGGCATGAAGCCAGACCTGGCATGACCATGGGTTTTTTTTATTTTCGCCCCCCAATGTCAAATCAAAGCAAAGACAGGATTTGTAAATCAAATCACATTTTCTCACAAACATCCATCCCATCGCCCCCACGTGCACGGTAATGAGCTTACGGATGTTTAAACAAAACAAACAAAAACCCCGACTCATGCGTGCTCAGGCGACCGATGCAAAATGCAGAGAAATTGTGATCGATAAAGTGGCAAGGCCTCACCACGAAGAGGCATTGCATTTGGCAACTACACCCGCCTAT